CTTTACTTCTTGCCATAATAAAAAATATATATTAGTTGGCTGAATTTTGTCTTCATTATGATAGAGAGAGCAACCTTAAATTAGATTCAAGCTACAACTACAGAAATATTTTATTATTGTTTTGCTTATAAAAGATTTTTCTGACATTTTTAGTCATTTTGATATTGTTTGCTATACTTCTTGAAAGAGTTTAAATAAATTAGCATGGTATATTAAGGAAACCATAGAAGCGCCTTTATAAAGTGCTATTATTTATCAAACCTAAAATGCTTTATTCACGCTAATGGGTTCTAACCTAGTGAAAAAGGGCCTTAACTCGTAAATGAGAGATTTTAAGTTCAAAACCCTATGATATCTTAGTTGTGTGTGAAACGTCCTCCCATGGGGTTTCATGTGGGAAAACACGAGCACGGCCCGGCACAGAACGGCTCAAAGGTAATTAAGCCCAGTGTGCCAACCCGTATAAAGCCCATTTATTAAATTATATTTATTTTATAAAAAATAATACATAATATTATTACATTTATATCTTAAATTTCTCTAATAATGTATATTAAAATTTAATGTTTTCTTTATATATAAAATAATGATGTTTTTCAAGTTTTAATTTTTAAAATCCAAACAATAATCTACTCATTTTCTATTTAAATGTACTTTAAAGAAAGTTATTGGCCACTTTTTTCAACAAATAATAAATCTTGTTAGTATGTACATAATTGTAAAAAAGATTTAAATGAAGTTGCAAAAAATATTAGAAAAAAAAAATGCATTACATAAGCCACATTTGGCGTGGGACTATCTCGGGCCCTTTAGTGGCCCGGCACGAGCACGGCCCTAGTTCATATGGGCTTGGGTTGTGGGCTCGGGCCAGAATTGATGATTTTCATAAATGGACAGGTCCGGTACGGCCTGGTTGACACCTTTACCTGTAGTTTAGACTATCACTTGTAATAAAATAAAAAAACTCCACCCACATGTTTTCCCCACTCTCCATCGAAAAATTATATATATACATTACTCAATCCGCATATTAATATTTGCAAAATACTTTATAATTAAAATCTAAACTATATGTTCAATTTCAATCTTTGGATGTCGACGGGTATGATTGCAATGAATACTTCCATATGTGTGGGGGGAATTCACTAGGATTCATCTTCATCAACCCTTGGCTTTTCTTTTCTTTTTTAAATTTATCCTTTTTAATAATAATGCCGGAGCATTGAGTGGTACTTTTATTTGTTTTTACAGTCAATTATATTTTTATTATTTGTTCCTCATAATACAACGCCTCTTGGGGCATTGCGTTACTTGTTTTTAGTTGTATAACTTAGTTTGAAACTTATCTTAAATTTTCTATTTCTTACTGAATCATGGAATTATTTAGCTTTCTTTCTTGAATATGGAAATAGATTGATGCTGAATTCAAATTATTTCTTATTTATTAAAACATTTGAGTCCATTAAACCCCCAAGAAATAAAAAGAATATTTGAGTCAAAAACACCTACATGGCCCCAAATAGCCAAAAGAAGTGGAATATTTGCGAAATAAAAAAGAAGCACAAATAGTAACGGACATCCAGCTTCAACATTGATTAGCATCCAAACAGTGAATTCTTTCGGCCAAATAAGAGGTACGAAAATCAACTTTGTGATGAGGCTTATCCTCGCATAAATTTAAAGAAGAAAATACTCCTTTCAAATTATGAAGGTAGGGGCCCCCTTAAGTACTAATGCAAATTTTAAAGCATGTCACCAAAAAAAGAACTTCTTTAATTAAGCTGTTGCTTTTTCTGATTAAGTCCAAAATACACTTAATTGTAAATTAAAAGCACTTGAGTCCCCAAAAGCTAATAACAAGCCCATGTTCCCAAAAGCTTTTTAAAGAGAGAATAATGAGTCTCAAGAAAAGAAATTCAATAATTGCATTTGGCCATCATCAAAAGAAGTTCACTAAAGTGACATCAATAGTCTTGCCTCATTAAAGTCATAACAAAGAAAATAAATTAATTAATTGGACCCCAAGAGGGGGTTTAGTTTAGTGATGAATTGCTAATTATCTATGGGACATAATTTTGTTTCTCTAATTCTTTAAAGAGTTTACTTTTTCATCATCTAAAGCACAAAAGAAGAAAAAGTTGCTTGCAGTTTTTGACAATGGGGAAACTTTGATGTGCATGAAGCAAAGCACACAGGCCTCCTCATTTGATGTTTGGACTTTGGAGAAAGGAGATGCTAAGGAGGCTGCAGGTATTTGAAAACTTTGGCACTTGGTTACTTGCACAAGAATTTAGGTATTAAATGTTGGGGCAACAATTTTACAGCTTTGGAAATTCAAATGATGCAAAAGGATTCACATTATAATCTCTGGGATGCTACTTCCCTAGAACCAGACTAGACCAGATGTTGTTATGCAAACTAAAACATATATTAATGACAAGTGTATGTAGAAAAATAATACATGATTACATTATTGCTAAAGATGTAATCAGTTATTATATGAGGGCAAAATAGTAAAAATTAAATAATTAAAGAATAATAATATCCTCCCGTAAATGTAAATTCTCGTATAACTGGCTAATAATGTACATCGAGCTTACACTCTCCCTTATGAAATGGAGAATAAGAATAAAACTCAAGAAGATCATTCATTTGCAAAGAAAGCTCTAATACCAAGTTAGATTAATTGTTTCCGACTCCAAAAACTTAAACTATCATATAATGGATCAAAAATGACTCTTTAACGGCAAGGAGCAAAATAACTCTTTAACGCTCATGTTTTAGCCTCATAGTTTCCACCTATGAATGTATAAAACTTTTTTAAATATCCAGTTTAAAGTGTATACGACTAAAATACGATATTTCAGGAATATACATGCCGTTTGAGTTGGTTATAGTATATAATAACGCTTTGTATTTGACCTAAAGGCCACAAAATATGTAGCACGAAGCAGAAAAAACAAAAGCAGTACGTACGTGGAGAGAAGTGATTGCCCAGAAGAGGAAGACATGTTGGAAGAGCATATCTTGAGCATGAAAAATACAGGCCTATTCTTCATTGGTTCATATGGTTTGACATACTGATTTCAGCTTTGTCCCCCTCTGCTTTTACTACGATCACTTCTCAGTTTCGAAATGTTTGTACACAAAATTATAACTTTGTGCGTCCTCATTATTAACTCTGATGAGAATTGACCGGACATGCGTACAATATAAGAGTCGTACCCTCACTGTAAATCTTGATTTAACTTTATTTTTTTACCGCTAATAAACCAATTTGTCCATCATTGTTTTCAATTCAAACATAGCTCTATCAACCTAACGGTCCAACTCGTTTAACCCTTCATCGGTCACTCACTCACGGGGACACTAGAATATAAAATGGTAAGATTTGCCAATACTGATGAGTGAAATTCATGCATGTCTAGACCAATATAATTTTAGGTCATAATTGTTTCTTCCTTGTCTTTTGCATCACGATCATTTCTTGGAGTTGGACTAGTCAAAGAGATTTGATTAGTCGACACAAATGGCCAAATTTTTGTTTGTATAGAGTAACAAAATAAGTTGTGAAATTGCATTGGATCTCATTTAAATTAATTTTGGTAGCTATGTTTACTAGAAAATTCAAGCAGACGTTTGTACGAGGGATCGATACGTGTTCTGTCACTCAAGTTCGAAATACTCAATAAAAAAGTATAATGTCACACGTTTTTCACAATCGAAAATCAATTAAGCCTCACTAGATGAATAGCGAGACTCCACCTGACACAGGCTATAAGAAAACATTGCTGCACTCATGATCATAATTGGATTGATATTGTGAAAAATATGAGAAATCATGATTTGAAAGGAAACAGCAAAAAGCATAATTGGCTCCCCACAATGGGCACTAATCGATTATATGTATGGGAACAACTTAAGTGGCTTTGATCGTAAAGGGGATTCCTTCAATTGGTTTTTTGTCCTATACATGCCAACATATAAAGTGACATTTCACTAAAATAATTTTTGACAAATGCTATTGTAAAAATAAAATTAATAAAAACGCCGTGCGTGAAGTGCGTGTGATTATAGATAGAAGAAGATATTATTAGAGATAGAATCATTGATGATAATTTTGACTAAGTGAAGAGCATAGTTTTCAACAATCAATGTTTATCTAGATAAAGACCAAGCATTGGTATTTATAGTCCTTTATTTTGGCTGGACAATGTTTGTGTACTTAACTCTAATCAAGTATCTTTTACACTTTCAATTACATTATTTGATGAATTGAAGAATAAAAACAAGCCAAGAGTTCATATGCATTTATTTAATAACGATCAAATGAATTTGACCTTTCTTTAACAGATCGAGTCTAGAATGAACTCATTTTATACTTGCGTTTCACATAATTTATTCGTGTCTCCGAATTCGCTATATCAAATATTTTATACACATCGTGTCACGTTAATTTTTGTTGTGATGGACAATTCATAAAGTGAAAAATTAAAATAAATAAAAAACTTGAATTTTCTCCCCTTTTCTTTTTCCGAAGAAAAGGGAGTTACTGAGCTCAGTTAAACACAAAAAAGGGGGAGTTATGTAGCTCAAAGCTCAAAAAGAGAGGGGGGATGGGCGGGGGTAGGAATCTAAAAATGATGTCCTTGCGTTGCGGTCGGTTTAAAATCACGAAAGTCCAAAACAAACCCCGCGCGCGGACCAACGCAAACTACGTGTCGCACAAGCTTTTAGCAGCGCACCTCTCCAAAAACGTCCGAGCCCCTCACACCCACACTCACACGACTTACCCACGATCTCCCCTCCCTCGTGCCAGTTTTCGATGTCGTCTGGTTACGAAGGGCACGGTGGTAATTTCATCCATATATCATCATCCACCATGCCACGCTGGAAACTGCATTTTCCGGATAATTTCTTCCACGTAATATCCAACGTGGCAGACCCCAACCTGGTAAGCAGACCCCTCAGCTTCCCTATATAAAACCCAAACCCATCCAACCTCTTTTCTTCACTCTCCACAAAACCCATTTGCCTCACCCGCACATCACACAAAACTCTCTCCTCTTCTTCATCATCAGCTCACCTGTCACCACCACCACCAGCATCGTCGCCGGCGAGAATAGATCGCCGGAAATGAATTTTCCGGCGACGTTACTACTCATATTCATACGAAATGTTCGTATCTTCGATCATCGCCATCACGTGTTCCACGAAAAACCCTCATCGGAAGCCATACTCTTTTAGCTCAAGTTTTCCCCCAAAAAAAAACAAAAACATTAACAGTTTCTAGAGAGAGGTACTAATTTTTCTGTTCAATCTTAATTTTGGAGCTTTTGGACCGGATTGACCCTGTAGTCGGAGAGAACGAGTTGAGATTTTCGAGTGTTTTTGGTAGTTGAGGAGGAGAGTGAATGCGGATGAAGAAAATGTTGATTTCAGAATCGAGTTGATTTTTGTAGAAATTTTTGGTTAATTTCGTAGCGGTGTAAATGCGAAGAGTCTGTGTGTCTGTGGATTTTGATTTTGGATCCCAAAGTTTAACGAGGCTGAGATATAGATGGGCGGTGAGTCAGCCTAGTTATTTGTAATTTGTAAAACCACAGCAAAAAAAAAGCACTAAAATCCTTAAGAAATTCCCGGAGCTTCCCTCTTCTATGCCATTTCCGATGAAGATCCAGCCGATAGATGTCGACTCCGAGGCCTTGATCGAACCGGCCAGGGTCGACTTGGCGAAACCGGTCTTGAAATCGCGGCTCAGGAGGCTGTTTGACCGGCAGTTCCCGAGCGTGCTTAGAATTTCTTCGGCTCAGGAGAAGCCTAGCAGTGGTACTGAGCCACCGCAGCAGAGCTTCAACAACAACAAGGACGGAGGCAACGCCGCTGCTACCACGGAGTTCGAGCCCAGCTCGGTTTGCTTGGCGAAGATGGTTCAGAATTTCATCGAAGAAAGCAACGAGAAGCAGCCACCGCCGAAATGTGGCCGCAACCGCTGCAATTGCTTTCACGGCAACAGCAATGACAGCTCCGACGACGAGCTTGACGTCTTCGGTGGCGGTTTCGGCGATTCAATCCCCTCGGGTTCGTTCGGCGGCGACGCCTCCGATATTCTGAAGGTATATTCGCCCCTTCAATTCTTCCTTTACTTCTTTTTACGTTTTTATTACTGTAGCTGTTCATTTTCTCGCGGTTTCCTGGCAACCAACCAGAGTATTTAGATGATTGATTGTTGCTTTTTTGTAAAATCAGAGTCTGATTCCATGCGTGAGTGTGGCAGAGAGAAACCTCTTAGCCCATACAGCGAATATCGTCGAAGCAAACAAAAATCAGAAACAGAAAGACGATTGGAGGAAGGTCGTCACCGACGGACTCAACTCTCTCGGCTACGATTCCTCGCAAATCGAAATGGGAGAAATCGTCCTCTTCCCCTGCCGGTACTTAAAATTCTCTCTCCCTTTCCAAGCATCCAAACAGTTTTCCTATATATAAAAAAAATACAATAATTGAAAATAATAATTTTGGTTCTGGCGTTTGGGCTTCAGGTGAATACGAGTATATCGATGTGATGGTAGAGGGCGACAGGTTGTTGATTGACATAGATTTCCGATCGGAATTTGAGGTCGCTCGATCCACTGGGCCCTACAAGGCCGTCCTTCAATCCCTGCCGTACATTTTTGTTGGAAAATCGGACCGTCTTGGCCAGATCGTCTCCATCGTATCGGAGGCAGCCAAACAGAGCCTGAAGAAGAAAGGCATGCATTTCCCTCCATGGCGGAAAGCCGAGTACATGCGCGCCAAGTGGCTCTCTCCCTACACCCGAGCCACCGCAACCAATCCCCAAAACGACGCTGCTCCTGCGCCGGAGGTCCCAACCGTAGTTTCCGATGCTCCGACCGAGACCGAGACCGACAATCTCAGCGATTGCGGCGAACTCGAGTTGATCTTCGGCAAGAGCCCGTCGCCGCCGGCTACCCCTCTGCCATCGCCTGCGGAAAATCCAATTTCCGTCGAGAAGGAGGCGGGGGAGGGGGCGGGGGGCGGCGGCGAACCGCACAGAGGGCGG